GACGATTCTTTTTTCTTTCATTTAAGATTCTTTTTCTAAATCAAAATCTAGTAATACGTTTTGCCATTAATCCGGTAAACGCTCTCTTCTCTTTCATTTTCTCGTGGCAAATCAATCTGGTAATCTGGTTTTTCACACCCCTCCGATATTCGATCTCAGAATCAACAGTTCTAAACTTAAGACATCGTTCTCCGCCTCATCGCTTTCTGGCGGGTGGCTTCATTAATCAAGCTCTTTATTGTATGTAGTTTTGTGACCGTAATGATAGTAAAACGGACGCTTTAGAAGAAATTCTGGGTAAGTGCACATCAACAAGAGACAATCTTGAATGACTTGGAAGTTACTTTAGAATTGCGTAATGATTCCAAACAAGCAACGCCAGTCCACGGATGTTTTTCTCGATGGAAGTCAGTAGTTTTCGTACTAATTGACGCTTTGGTCTCTTGAATATCATGCCTTGCCCACATTAGAGTCATAAACTCTACTGATCGTTGGATAGAATTTTTTTTCGATGTTCAATTTTCAGAATTATTTTCTAAAAATGCTGATCAACTCTAAGTCTTGGCCAATCCTCGAAACGCCGTGAACATAAAACAAGTCATGTTCCATAAAATGGGGCATGGTTTTTCTTCAGTCCTCGAAAATCACATCATTCAACACCGCTTAATGCTCTCTAAACATTTTTAATTCCGAAAGGTGGGCATAAGATTGAATAAGTATACTATTGAATTTAGGTATATTCCTACTACTTGTTCACTCAATTTGCATTACGCCGATGAAAAATCAATACGCATGAAATATTTTGCTTATTCAAAAAAATCATGATAGATTTTTTAAAAAAAGAGTAGTTTTTCGTAAATATTAATTCTTAATGGTAATCGCAAATATAAAATTCTGAAAACCCAGTCCAACCGTTTTCTTATGGCCTATAAGTGAACAGAACGCTTACCAGAATGTGTTAGTTTGGTTATCGTTTAGTTCTGGATTATAGAATATGAAACACTCAGAAATGATGCGAGAAGTATGGTTGCTTGTTTCAGCACCGCTTAGATAACTTGTGTAAACTGTTGAATTAGCAAGCAGAATGGTGTTTGTGTCTGCAGCAGGCGAGAACAGGTTTCAGGAGGAGTTTGGTGTAATCCCGGCGCACGCCGCGCGCTCGCGCCGTGGGTGGTGGGGATGCGGGGTGGGCGCGTGGGCGGCGCGCGTGGGGTGGCGGGCGGCAGGCGCTCAGCCAGATGGCAGAGCGCGCCTGTGGGCGACTGCGGGGGCTGGTGATGCGGTGCTGCCCGTTGGTTGACGGGGCGTGGCGAGCGCGCCGACCACTCTCCGCTGGGGTCCGCGTCTTAGTGCGTCTCCAAGCCCTGGTGGGCGCGGCGTGGCGCCGGTAGTTCTGCTGTGCGCGCGGGGGCGCAGCGCCCGCGCTCAACGCGCTGCTGTCGTGGGGCCGCTGGGGTGCTGCTCGCCTACTCCTTCGCCGTCATACCCTGCTGCCCCGGTCGTTCAGGGATCACGGGCTGGAACGCGCGGAACAACAATTGCATCGACGTCGTCACCCGTAAGTGCCCCCCCCATTGTAAGGAAACTCATTCTAAAAATGTACTTTTACACTCAAAAACCAACTTTCTATGTCTAATTCTTATTGGAGATAATAATCATCATACTGGCGTACGTCCTCAATACATATAAGTCCTCAAAGCATCATAAGGCTAATAAGAAACTATAGGACTTGAAACTTATTAACTGCAAATTTTAAAAATCTATTCAAATGTTTATTATTTTTTGTTGCAAGAAGTTTTTTAGAGCATTCATTAAAAAAAGAACTCAAAACAGAGGAGAGAGTAAATAGCCGTGGCTATGGAAAAAAAGAACAATAGATTCTAGTTGTTTCGGACAGACAATGTCCGCAATATCTTGATAATTTGGGATATACAAATGCACTGCATTGTAATGACTGAAAGCGCGTCAAGAATATAAAAAGTTCAGTTTATTTCAAATTAACAATTTATTTCGTAAATTAACATCATATCCAGTTTTGCGCACCTACTACAAATTACTATTTAGAGTGAATACTTAATTTTCAGTTAGATCGCTGATGGTGGCTGATGTGGTGCTGACGATCGCTTGGCGTGCGGTCTCCATCCTTCATGAAGCCCGTTCGTCGCGCTGGAGAGCTGCTGTTGCGAGGGGCAGAGCCCCCGCCGAAGCTCCCTCACTAGCGCCAGTGCGCGCCCCCTCTCCCGCCCCCGCCCCGAGGAGCCAGGTCGCAGGGCGCGCAGCAGGCAACGACTGCAAGCGTCCACCTCTTCTCAACACTTTTCACAGGGTACGAATTTCTGGACACATAAGCGAATAGAAATGCTTAAATTGCACGGAAACTGCTGGTCTGCTAATGGCTGGACAGAACATTGTACCCTCCATTAATTATAACGATACCACTTTTCTCAGAAATTCAGAGCTAAACAGGTCCCGAATGAAATGTCTGCCATTCTTTAAAAAGGTCCACTTGATCTATCCCCAAAAAACTAGTGGTTCATAAAAATAAACAGTATTTTGTTCGCCTTAGTTAATGTTATGAATATTTATACTAATTTCTCTTATAAACACGATCTTCAGATTCATGGCGTGAGCAAAATGCCGCACATGCAGGCAATAGCAGCTTGCAACATCTAAACCATAATGATATTATTTATTTCTGTAAAGACGCCATTCTGGCCTAAAGGAACCAGTTATTCAGTTACTTATTTTTGGATTTACAAGACGTTCTTTTGGAGTACTTTTTTGCTTAATTTTTGAAAGACATTATTATTTTCATAGTCTCCAATTAGTGTATTCGTATGATGATTCTTAAATTTTCCATTTTTCTTTAAACGAAACTTAAAAAACAAAACCAGTCTCTTAATTTAATATCTCAAACCCCCAGAGTATTAATATGATGGGGCTGCAAAGCAAGAAAATCGGATTTTTTAATAGTAGTCGGGTAAAGGTGTGTTATGCTGGGCGCAATTTCAATGTTTGTAAATATTAGGGGGAGTGATTACAGTTACTGTAAGTGGAATGTTTGTATGTGATGGATGTAGATGAATGAATTAGTGGATGAGTGCAAATTTTAGACATTAATCCGGTAATACGTCTCTTCTCTTTCAATTTTTACTCGAGGCAAATAATCTGGTAGTTGGTTTTTCCACCCCTCACGATATTCGATGTCAAAATCAAACTGTTCTAACAATAAAGACCTCTCGCCCTTTGCGTGGCTTCTCATTAACAAAATCAATGCTTTATGTATGTAGTTGATGACCATAATGATAGTAAACGGACGCCGCTTCAGTAGAATTCTGGTTAGTGCAAACCATCACAAGAGCCTCCAATTCAGAGGTCCCGTATCGACATTCCGGTCCAAAGTTCGGTTGTCCAATGAGACATCTCGTTGTGGGATCATAGTCTTCGATTTAGAACAAATTGGCACATAACGCAAATTCACTGCTGTCTGTTTGCAGGAATATCCGATGATGAATATGCTGATATTGTGCAACATACATATCTTAAAATGACCTTCGAAGTTACGCTTTACGTATCTTGCGTAATGATTACACATTGCAAACAAGCACGCCAGTCCGCGGATGTTTCTCGATGGCAGTAGGTAGTTTCGTACTAATTGACGTTTGCTCTCTTGAATAGCCTTTGTCCCACACTAGAGTTCCATAAAGTCTACTGTCGTTGGATAGAATTTGTTTTTTGGTGTTCAATTTCAAATTATTGGTTCTAAAAATCTTGAACAAAACCTTCCAAACCAGATGAACACGTCTTGTACGTAAATGGGCATGGTTTTCTTCAGCTCCCTCGAAATCACATCATCCAAACACCGCATTAATGCTTCTCCTAAAATTTTTAATCGAAACGGTGGCCTAACGATTGAATAAATACTTGAAATTTAACGTATTTCCTACAACTTGATTCAAACTCAATTTGACACTACGCCGATGAAAAATCAAACGCATGAAATATTTTGGCATTAGTTTCAAATATCATATACATTTTTCGTTTTTACAGTTTTTCATAATATTATTCTTAATGTTAATGCAAATTAAAAAAGTTCTGAAACCCAGTCCAAACGTTTTCTTCTTGTTTCCCTAGTATAGTGAAAGAGACACTTAACAGAATGCTGCAAGTTTCGTAATCGTTGAAGTCTCTGGATTATCAATAATCGCAAACTCAGAAATGATGCGAGAAAGTATGTGTTGTTAAAGCACCGCTAGATAACTTGTAACTGCTTGATGAGCAAGCAGAATGGTGTTTGTGTCTGCAGCCCGGCGAAGAACCAGGCTCACGAGGAGTTGGTGTACATCCCGGCGCACAGTAAGGACGGCGAAGGAGAGGCGGCGAAGCACCGCCAGGCGGCCCCCCACGACAGCAGCGCGTGAGGCGCGGGCGCTGCGCCCCCGCGGCGCCACAGCAGACTAACCGGCGCCCACGGCCGCGCCCACCAGGGGCTGCGAGAGCGCACTAAGACGCGGACCCCAAGCGGGAGTGTCGGTTTCCGCATCGCCAGCCGCCGCCGTCAACCGAACGGCAGCACCGGCAGCACCAGCCGCCGCATCGCCCACAGGGCGCGCCTCCTGCCATTGGCTGGCGCCTGCCGCCCGACCCACACGCGCGCCGCCCACGCAGCCCACGCCGCATCCCACCACCCACGGCGCAGCGCGCGGCGTGCGCCGGATTACACCAAACCCTCCGTGAAAGCCTCGTTCTCGCCTGGGCTGAGACACAAACACCAACTGCTTGGCATTCAACAGTTACTCCACCAAGTTATCTAAGCGGTGTGCAAAACAACACCACACTTCTCGCATTATTTATGACCTTGTTGATTTTCGAAAACAATAACACACCACACACACCCACTATAATATATATATATAGTATATATATATATATATATATATATATATATATATATATAATAGTAGAAGTGAGTGATGATCGGGAAACTCAATATTCTCATAATACTAAAGCCGTGGGTATCGAATTAAAAGAGGTTTCAGCTATAATTTAGAAGGATAACACATCATTTATTTAAGTTACAAAGTAATTTTGCATAAAAACTAGATTAAGCTTTATTCCTATGTTTTGCTTTAGAAAAAAGAATGTCTCAGTTATAAAGTCAATTATTGTTTGAGATTTGGTAAGAGTGTGGGGAAACGCCGACGTGTACGCTGTGTGATTTTGGGCGTATAGGAAAAGGGGAGAAACAAAAAGGAAAAAGGTTGCGGGGGCCCCCCCAAGTGTTCGTTGAAGATACTGTGAGGTGATGGCGTATGGTAGTGGGTAGATATGATAAGGAAGTAACAAGTGAACAAGCGTTAGGACAGGTGAGCTCAAGAGAGACGTTACAACAAGTACGCTTGTAAAGTTACCAATAGGAGTCAACGCAAAACGCCGGACGTTTCCGGCGATGTATAGGCGTGTAGGTCTAGGAACTGTGACCGATCTCCCGTACGACACAATGATTTTAATAATGATAAATGATATGTCCCGAAAAGTGACATCACGGCTAATAAACAAAACTGAGGGACAGAAAAAAGTAAAAACGTTTCTAAGTTAATATCAAGCCGCATCTGAGAGAAACTTATCACTCTAATAAATAGACGCACACGCACCATTAAGGAACTATATGAGCAATGGCACATAAAATTAGTTTCATTGGTACAACGTATATTCCAATACATGTGAATATTTGATTGTTATATAACTTACTTAGGTGTTACAGTATGGTCACGGAATTATTTTTCAAAATTTCAAAATGCATTGAAAGTTCAAGTTAATGCATCGTAGAATTAACACCAATCGTAAACGGTGTGAATGTATATATTTCAGCGTTTGTTACTCATTTAGGGTGACATAACAATTTTCTTTATTTATGTATTTTTATAATATGGTAAATTGTATTGTTGGAATTATTATGGAGTCACGATGGGAAAAGTAATGAAATCAAACAAAAATTTTCTTAAAATAAACAAAACGAGTTGCACCGTTGTTTTGCTGTCGCAACGTTAAACATTGAAACCTTGATTATTTTTATTATTTAGGAATGAGACGATTGTTGCCCACCAAAGTAAGCGCGTACCTCATCCCATCAAAATAGTCGAGAATGTCCAGCACTAACGCCACGGAACCGATGGAAAGTAAAAGTAAAATAAAGGAAAGAATGTTAAAGGTTCAGAAGGTTAATTATATAAATGTTCGAAGTCAAATAAAAAAAAAATATAATTTTAGTTCACCTATCCTGGCTAAATAAAATAATACATTTCATAAACAAACAAAAAAACAGTTTAAATAACTTAAAGAAAATTCTTGCTTCCTAAAGAAAAAACCGAAAATTATTCTTTTTATATTTCAAATGTTACCCTACATTTCCACAAAATATAAGATCATACAAAGCGCCAATCAAAGAAACAATTAGAATTGCTTTTCTAACATTTTTGTAAAAAAACATGCGAATAATTCCGTTAATCTAACAAAGTTCCTATTGTAACTTCTTTAATAATCCGTAATACGTAAAGAGCTGTAAAATATACAATTTCCACGTATTTCAATCGGTGGACTGATTAAAATCTTTCAGATATTAAGATATTATATTTCTAGCGAATCCCAAAGGACAAAACCTTTTATGAGCTCTCCTTGTTTCCAAACAAGAAAGATAGTTATCCTTTGAACTCTTTAATTCACCAAGTAACCGAGTTTCTTTTATACTCAAACATTTTTGGTTTTTATATACTTACTTGACCAAATGGTGTAAAATATGGCGTGAGAGATGGTAGATCATAATTATAGCGAACGGAAATCGCAATAGATAGAATAAGAAGAAAGCAAAACACCAAGCGTCCCAAACTGAATAGTTTCTCGTTGTTCCAGTGGTGCAACAAAAGGAAACAACAGAAGCGGTGTGAGATATAGGTAAAGTTGCATGTCAACCGCCATATACCAGGAATGCCAGAGGGGCCATGTTGGAAAGAACAAAATTTGTCAATTTCAATGAGAAAAACCAAAAAAATGATTGTTATCTTTACTTTGCTTACATGTATTGCAAACTTCAGTGCTCACCATTGTTGCTTTAAAATTACGGACATTGGTGCGGGTTAATTGCTGAATGTAAAGAATGTTCGCCACCAGTTTGCTCGGCCACATGGGTTGACATCAGCCGATGAGTAGCTCGTCCCACAGAGGACCATCCCCAAAAAATGGAAGTCCACCGGTGTACTAAGCAATATTCCTACAAACACCCCATAAGCAGGCCTGTCAATCTATACCGGAAGGTTCAGTTTATTCTTCGGACCGAGACATGTCGAATTGAAAAACTAACGAATGGATTAATCGTTACAGGATAGGCCCTTACTTAAAGGAGTTGCGGTTATTTACATGCAACGTGTCGCAAATTAAGATTTCAAATGAATTTCCCGGGATGTTCACAAGGGAAAAAATTTACAGCCAGATTATTTTAGTAAAATTATACCTTACCCCTTCCCCACAGAAAATTGACTGGTCTATACTAGAACTTGGAAAGCAAAACCCGGGGCAGTATTTTTGATTGTGAGTTTGTATGTATGCGAGCCCTAACAAATTTTAGAGAAACGTCGTATGTAACAGTGCTTATAAAGTTAAATATGATGATACTCTGAATGATACCTATATGATATTCATGTATCTTCATGCTTATGTCAAACAGTTTTCATTTTAAGTCAACCACACAATACAAATACATTTGTATGTGCCTGCGCTGATTTTCGAATATTCAGCATTAATACATTTTTCAATTGTTCTTATTGGATTATTTTAAAAGGAATCTTACGCTCTCAATTCAATAATGTCTTGGGTCAGTCCATGTGGTATGGTTAGATTAAACTCCCGAGTTTAACTCAATTTACGCTTAATATACATAACACATTATACACTATCTTATGAATACTAACTCAGGGTCTGTCTTTGTACTGTAATATCCGCAACCAGTTCAAATATATAAATTTGTTTGTTCATCTCCGCCCACATATTGTGTTGCCTGTCTAACGATGAAAAAGTCGATTCATATGCTTGTAATGACAGAAATATTTTCGAATCTCTGGAACCTATTGCTGCAAAATTTGGAAACAATACATCTTCAGGAGCAATAATGAAAATGCTGTGATTGTTTTCAAAACTGGTTACTCCACAAATGCTTGTTTTTTTTATATTCAGATCAACCTGCCAAATCCCCAATTAGCGTGGCTCATGTGAAAGTTTTTTCGACAAACCGGACTAGTCCAATCCGTGGTGAACCGAACTTAAACCTTATTCCCTTATTCCTTCCCAATTTTTGGCGAGGACCTGGGTTATGATAACAGGCACGCGTGCGAGACGCGAGCGCGAAAGACAAGTTTTTACCTGTGGTGATTCCCTGACTTGATTGGCCCGGACGTGATGCGACTACTCCAGCCCCCGGCCACACTTAGAAGCCCCGCTGATGTAACGCGAGATTACTCCATATTGTAAAAGTCAACGGAGATTTATCCAAAGTCCAATATGTAGCCTAGGGA